ATTAACTGACGGGACCTTCAAGGTGTTCTTTAACCGCTTATATTAATGAAAACATGCGTTCTGTCAGGCCAGGTGTAAACATCAAGGATATTTGGTCAGAAATGAACATTTTTGACTTTTTTGTTTGTTTTTGTGCTCCAGAGGTTACACCACTAGAGGGCGCACTTTAACTGACAGCAAGTCAGTTTTTCTTCACTCTTTTGGTTCTTTGACTCACTGTGATGTAACATGTTATATGTAAACAAAAATAACAGGGAACTTTTATTGATTTAATTCACATCAACTGGAGTGATATTGGTTTTCTTTTTTTTGTGATTGCATATATAGGGAACAATTATTAGACCACCTCTGTTTTCCTTATTCGTTTGCTTGTTACCGGTATTCTATTTTTTTAATTATTTTTAATTATTTTTTATGTTTTCCTAAGGCAATATACTTCCCCTCTAAATATTCATTTAGAACAATGAAATAAATTAAAAAGAGGGGAAAGAAGGATATAAAATTCTTCCATGTCTGCTTTGGGTAAAATGAAGATTGTCCAGAAACCTATTGTTTAGCATTAGTAATTAAATTCTTTATATCACCTTAACATACCAAAGTAAACATTTAATGCTAAAACAAAAATACTTTTGAACATTTTCCTTGTGTATCTCTTATTTTGTTTGATCTTAGCAATAAAGAAGTTGTTTTATCAGTTAAGATAAAAAAAACATATGTGGGTGTAGTGAGGTTTGATTATACGGTAATATGACTTGCCATACTAATTCCTCCCTGCCTTAAGTTTTATAGACCTGCAGATCTCTGATAAAACAACTTTAAAACTTTGCATAATTTGTAAACATCTGTTCTAACTTGAGACTCTTCCTTATAGATGTATTTTGGTTGTCTGTAAATTTTCTGCAGCCAGGAGGTGGTGGAAATGAGCCTCAGTTTTAATCTAAGCGAGGGGGCAGGAAGAGTACAGTGGCCTAGTTTTCTGCAGGTTGGTATATGTGTGAGGAGCTGCCACAGTGGGCCCAGCACAGCCGGTGATTTCAGAGCTGAGAGGGCCGTTTAGTGGGCGGGTGGCCAGATGGAGAGCGGCAGCAAAGGACGCTGGACACGGCATCTTTTTCTCTGCTGGCATGCAGCCTGTGCCCTAACCGCCCCCCTGTCTCTTCCTTTGTCTATTCTTTTATTTATACTAAAAAACCTTTTATCTTTCAGAGCAGCCATTCCAAATTTATACCATCAATTAAATGGGCTATCAATTCACTTGTTGGATATGCATATAAATCATAATGACTCATCCAAGCATAGTTTTTATCTTTGCACTTAGAAAATAACAAAACAAGGTTTAGATCTGCTACTGAAGGAGCAAAGCGGTTTTGTTTCAATCACATAGCTTGCTTTATCATACCTGAACAAATAAATATTTGCTTTAATGTATCATTAGAACATAGATTTTTATTTAGTAATAGAGTTTGGGATATTTTATAAAATTTGACATTTATGCCAAGTGGAGAGATAAATGAAGCTGCCCTTTGTTTATTAGAGCTAAATGTAAGTCACAGAGTTTTGATTTAGGTAACAGGCATCTACTGTTCCTTCTATTATGTCACTCTGATGAGAAATAGACAGGCTTTGTAGTTAATGTTTCAGTCAATTTTACAGGTGAGATTCTCGATATTGTTCCTGTTTAGTTTTTTTTTTACTGTTCTGTTAAATATTTTAGTGGTGGGCCTTTGGTAACAGGTTTAAATTATATTGGTATCTTTTATTTTTACACTTTTCACCTTTTTTTCTTTTTTACAGGTGTGTAAAAATATTTAAGCTAGCTACGGATTTATTTTCATTATTTTTTAATCTTTATCATAAATAACTGAGCTTTATTCACATACAAATGAAGCACTACTTCATTTTGTAAATAAATTAGTTTTTTGTTGCTTTAAAAAAAAAGTTTGGCTGATTTTTCTTCCATCAATTAAGAAATATTTAGAGATAAGTTTCGTAAATATTTAAAGCATTGATTTTTGTTTTAATCTTTGCAAAGTAATATTTTTTAAGTATCTTGTATTTGAAATGTGAGGGATTGTCCATACATACTAGAAACTGTGCACCTATTTGGAAAAGTATGAGTAAAATCTAGTGTTGTGTTTGTTTTGCAGAAATCTTCCTTTGCTACAGAATTCAGATAAAAACTGCCTTTGTGAAAATGTCTCTTTGTGGCTCTAAGAAAAAATGAATAACTAAAGTTCATCAAGTTTATAATTTAGATCAAAGTGAAGAAAAATTTCTCTTGGGAAAAACAAATTCTTTGAAGTTCTGGCCCCGGGTTAGAGGCTACAGCTCTAGAAAACGAAATGAAATCTCCGTTATTTCAACCCCTTTAAAGACTGGTCACCAGCAGCAGAGACCTGACTGCAGAGCAGCTATGGCAGAACACAACAAAGCAACTTCAACATCACATTAAAAATGTCTCGTCTGAACATCTGCAAAAATAATAACGGCAAAAAATATCAAAAAGTAACAGGTAAATATTTGCCCTTAATTCAGGGCAGTGGACAACTGAAACAGCTATGGGGGCAATTTACAGCCAAACAATAAGAGCTCATTCATTTCAGTTTACGAGCAGGATTTGCTCATTTGACTCTGGGATATTAGCACCGGTTTTATTCCTTCAGATGAGGTTTTTAAAGCGCGAAGCATAAGATTCAAACGCGAGTGAAAGATGTTCGTGCAAGAGGCAAAAAGCTGCATACACGAACATCCTTTTAAAAGGGCAGCGGAGTATTTCTGTAAGCAAACTTGATTTTATGAGAGCAGCATTTGAAAACACACGGTTGGTTTTCCCTGCTCTTTGATTTTCTTTGCTCTGTTGAAATGAAGCGGTGGCTTTGTGACGTCGGAATCACCGGCTTTATTAAGGCGTAATGCAGGGAGGCTGAGTTTCATGCATGAGCAGAAGATATTTGCAGGAAGCAGAGGAGATCAGAGCAGCAGCTTGCTCACAAATTAAAAAATGTAAATGTAAACTCCTAGATTTTGAAACATAAAATGACCCTCAGCAGCTAACATCATCAGATGGGAAACGGAAGAGACGGAGGAGTGACGAGAGCGAGAAGGGTTGTCTGTAAGTATCCTCTCTTGCTCTCTATCCTCTTTCCCCATTATAGATGCATAAGCAACATTTGTATCCAAAAACAAATAAAAAGCAGAATTTTCTGAGGGGATTGAAAAACTTTTTTTGCCGTAAATAAAACATTTGAGAAAAGCTGCAGTTTGTATTAAGTGCATGTTTACTGCTTAGTCGAACCATAAGGTGTTTCCCAGAACTTGTATTTTTTATTAAAGTTGCCACTTTAAACAGACTGCAATGAGGCAGTTTGGGACAGTGTGGTGTTCTAATCAGTCCAGCTGAGGGCAGCACTGAGTAAACCTACTGCTGAGAAACACCATGACCATTTTTTTTTTTCACAGCTAAAGCTTATTGGGAACAAATCTCCTGCTGATAGGACCACCACATGTTTTTCACAGCTGGTTTGGAACCATTTTAGCTAGAAAATACAAGACTGTAGTGTTTATCACCACTGAGGGCCTTTCATACGCAGACCTGGTCGCGTTGATTGAATTACAGTGAAGCAGCTGGACAATCCAGGAGCAGAACAGTGCTGTTTTTTATAAGTCAGGATTGTTGTGTCATATCCCGTCAAAGGGGGAGTCAGACTCACCAGTGCTTGAAATTTGTGATGGTTGGTCATTGCAAGGTGAAGTAACACCATTTGTCTCCAGCCTGGTGCACATTCTGGTGCACCAGTCTGGTCTGTGTTGGTCACCTTCCCCAAAGCCGGGGACAGATTGTCAAAGGTGCTCTCTCGGTTTTATCAAGCCGGAGGAGCGAAGAAATTAGCAGCAGATCTGAGGTTTCAATACTATTACTAGGTGACACTGTTAAGCGCTCTGTTTAACAAAAATGTCTTGTTGAATAATATAAGACGTAATAAATTCACTTGCTTTGGTCCGGCAAGTTTGTCTAATGTGTGTTCAAAACATTTCAAACGTATTCCTACAACATGTGTGTCAGAGTGAGTGCTTCCTGCGTGGTGTTTATACAGTGCCGTACGAAAAGTATTCAAACGCTTCGAACCTTTAACATTTTGTCATTTTCAAACAACCTCTGTTTGTTTTATTTGAGGTTATATGGGGGATCGATAATATCTGGACTGTAACATCCAAATAAAATTAGCTGTGTGTCTCAAAACTTTGAACATATTTTTAGGTATTGTAATGGTTTATTTTATAGTTTTCAGTCGAGGCTTTGACTAGGACATTTTAGCATTATAAATATGTTTTAGCTTTTCTTATAAAGGGTTGTTGTCCTGCAAGGATTTAAATAACCAAGTGAGTTTCACGTCTTTGACGAGGTCTAACTGGTTTTAGAGTTGATCAAAACAAACTACCCCCTCCTTCCAGTTAACTATAACTACTTCTCATGCACAGGATAACAGCATCTCCATCGCACGCTGATTCCTCCTCTAGAGTAAAGCCACATTTTTGCACGTATTCCAAAAAAACAAACTGTTAATATCTCCTTCATGGCTTGTTGTAAACTGCAAACCAAAACTCTTCACAACTTTATACCTGACCTCTGTTCTTGGTCTTCCCGATGTCTACTGATGTTCTCCAGCAGCTCTGAGGCCTTCACAGAAAAGCTGTCTTTTGGCTGATGTACTTTGTCACACAGGATCTTATTTTGAGGTGACCAATTAAACCCCCGATTGATGCTACACTTTTGGTTTCAGGGTTACTTTGTGGTCGTCTCCACTGCTAAACACAATGAAGTAGTTCTCACATGGCAAAGTGTGGAAAACTCAAAGTGAGTGAATACTTTTTTTAAGGCACTATATCTCAGCACTAAGCTGGAGGCACTCTGTCAAAGAAGAGTTATATAAATATTCAATGATGAAGAAGGAAATCTTGTAAAAACATTGACTGTCAGCTTTTAGGTCCCTGTCTAAAGAACCAGCCAGGACCGTACATATTCCTGAACACAGATCTTGGGCCTCAGGTTTAGTCGTCCCAACAGTACAAGAGGCTTGCGTTGAATTCTGTGAGGTGATGCGTTTGCTTTGATACATTTCTTTCTCCAACCTCCAACCTCCAATGCGTTGCCTGGAACTGATTGTTCTAGCCAATCCCTATCCCCTTTGACATCCCAAAACCCCTGCTATGGCATCAACCCCCTGAGCTCTTCTGGAATGTGTGTGTTTGTGTGGGTATCAGTTAACCACAGCTGGCTTGAGCACCACAGCGCCTGGGGGGATGACCACCCAGGACAGGGGATCATGAGACCCACCTGTGGAGAGGTTTAGGACCCTCCCAGGCACCTCATCCTCTGTTTCCTTTCCCCGCCCTCTCTTTGCCTGGTGGCTCTGATGCCTGCGCTCCGAAGTGGGGCCCAACATCGGAACCATGGGCAGCCCAAGGGCCGAGGAAGGGAAGGCTTGGGTGAGTAAAGGAGCCTTGGCCAGGCCAAGTGGGGAGCCGTTAAAGGACAAGATAGATGTACCTCCTAGGCTGACTGGAGAGGAATTGGGACTCCCTAATGTGGTGAGGTCCAGGGGTCTCGGACTGAGAGGGGACAAGGGAAGCGCACCGCCGACACCCTGCAAGGCGTGGCCCCCCAAAAGAGCAGCGGCTGCTCCTGGGATGATGATGTGAGCTCCACTGACATAGGGCGAATCTGAATCCTTAGCGCCAACTCCAGCAGGCCCTCCACTCTGACTTCCCCTCAGCAGAGAGCCCACTCCTCCTTGGGAGCCCGGCTCCTGAGCTACAAAGTGGCCGTGCGCTTTGATGTGTTTTCGCAGTGAGCTTGGATCGGTGTAGCGCTTCAAGCAGCCTACCATCTTGCAGTAGTAGGGCTTGTCTACATAATGTGTGCGTGTATGCTTGAAGCGGTCGCTGGAGTTGGAGTAGCGCTTGTTGCAGCCCTCATACGGACAAATGTAGGGTTTTTCACCTGCAGGGAGGAGAGATTTACCCCAATAAGAATCTATGCCAATCCTAAAAAAATACATTCAATAAACCATTCTTTATAAATTTAGCATTAAGGGCAAATATCATTATAGTTCAAACCCCACAAAACTGAGTGTGGAAAAATTAAATCACAAGGAAGCATCACACTTGCTACAGGATCCTCTATGCTAGAAAAGGCGGTGATATTAGGTTTGAACAACCACCTAGAAGACAAGTTCCCACATTGAATTTTATCAGTAGTGTACCAACCAGCAAAAAAAGAAAATCAGCTTTGATTATATTGTTATTTCTTGGATGCAGAAACGGTCAGACATGATTGAAGTTTCCAGGATGTTAAGAGAAGAAGCCTCAATAGATAAAACAATATTAGTCAATATACATTTAAAATAAGTGACTTTAGTAATAAAAAAATGTGTGCGTGAGAATTTAACTTAGGTTTAACTTAGATTTTTTTTTCCTTTTTAAATTCATAGAAAACATTGCCTATGGTTTATATTGTGACCCAGAATTAATTTAGGTTAGATAAAAACCTAAGCGTATGTCGATCTGACAATGTTCTCACACCGGCTTAGGCAGGTTTTCATTTACCAAGTGGATTTACATGCAGCTATATATATATATATATATATATATATATATAGTTATCGGAAAGAAAGATTCACAATCTAAATCTTCACTAAACTAACTCAATTGAGCTTGGTCATTACTAGTGACTCAATTATCCACTAATGCCCAAAGAATGCACTTAAAATGCTTCGTCTTTTAAACATTTTTACATAATTCCCAACTTTGGATGTATAAAAAAATCTAAACTAAACCACAACATAACAATATTTGCCCTTTAGCTACATCACAAACATTTTTTTTCTTTTATTGTTGTTTTATTGCTTATTCTGCACAGACCTGTGTGTGAACGGTTGTGAATCTTGAGGTTCTCCAGGCGTGAGAAGCTCTTGTTGCAGGTGGGACAGCGGTGCGGCTTCTCATTGGTGTGAGTGCGTATATGAATGAGCATTTTGTACCTACAGACAAAGAGAAAACATAAGGAATCAGTTCTAGTGTAGATTATCTCTTTAGAAAGCTAAAGGAATGATTTCCTCACCTGGCATTAAACCCCCTCCCTTTGCGAGCGCAGCCCTCCCAGTGGCAGCAGTACCCAGAATCCTTCTCAGGCTTCACATGGAAGTCGTTGACGTGGTCCACTAGGTCTTGTAGGGAGTCAAAGAGCAGGTGGCACTGAAATAGGGAAAGCATTTCATTTAAAATACCTGCAGTGATAAACCCGTTTAAATTTCAAGCTTTAACTCTTTTCTTTTTTTTTTTACCTTTTTCCAGCGACAAGCCAGTTGTTCATCTGCTGAAAGGTCCGGAGAAGCCCGCTTGTCGCTCGATTGCCCAATGAACATAGAGGATGGCAGGTGAAGGCCTGCTCCAGGACCGATTGGCACAAAGAACTGAAACCCCTGCGAGAGGTGAGAATTCTGATGAGCAGGACATGGAAAAAAAAAAGACAGAAGACTAAACAAGCGGCAAACAACATTAAAACTCACAAGAAAAAGAGAAAAACACAAACATTGCAGGTTTAATGCATACAAAATAGCTAAACTACAAACTGCACTGTGCTCTGATTATGTAGATTTCCCATACCCTGCTGCACTCGTTTTTCAAAAAAAAACAAATTATAATAAATTCATCTTTTATTTTAGGATCAATATGTTAAAAGTAAAAAAAAAAGTAACTTTGTTGAAATGGGAATAATATCTTACTTTTTTAAACAATCACCTTCACCACATTAATCTCATCATTAGCAGATGATTCAAAGGACAGTAACCAAAAAGGTTAAGTGCTGAAAAATTATTAATCAATGACTTCCTGTTTTCTAGTCTTTATTTAGAAGAAACAGTAGAATATGCCATTTAAGAGCAGCAGACATGTTGATCCTCACATATTGGCTAGAAAAAACGTAGATCCTTAAAACTGACCTCATCTGTAGTTAGAGCAATACTTCACAGTTTAAGCACCTGATGAGCGCTCAAACACCAAGCCTGTGAGTCTGAGGTTCAAATCCTCCTGCCACTCCAGAGCCCAAACCCCCTGGTCTCTACTCCCCGAGCCAGCATTCCTCCAGGCTGGCTGAATGATGCATCCTTTTTTATTTCTACCACCACATATTTAAAGTAACTGAACCCTGGTGAGGCTTAAATGCTCTGGTAGGACTCAACTTTACTGCAACAAAAAATATAAGGCTGTTTGGTGTTTTATAAAGGTTGTGGAGAAGCTTTCCATTGCCACTTTTAAGTATGGTGGAGGATCTGTCATGCTGTTGGATGTTTCTTTATTCCATATGGTTTTCAGGGGGGGGCGCAATACGAGTGATTTTGTATATTAAAATTATATCTAATTTTTTTCTCTGTCCTTTTAAGACTATAAGAAAAAATGCTCAATTGAATTTAAGCCTTTTTTTTTATTATTATTTCAAGAGGAGCATGGGGATATTGAGTGTGGCACCATTACTAAAATAACATGTACTGCTTATTCTGGTCTCTATTTGTAAAAAGAAATAATTTCATTTACCCTCAAGTAGTATTTTAACCCCGACCTGTGCAGGAGAGATTAGAGATTCAATGAGGCTCCTTAGGGATTCAGAACGCCCCCAGATTTAACCGTATACAAACACGCACAATGGAACCTAGCTACAGGGGAACAGCTATCTCAGTAAAATGGATTTAAAAAATATCTTGGAAACACACATTTTTAGTAAGGAGGGAACCACATTGTTTTGTTAGTGAAAAATGTGCATGTTTGCACTCTGGTGAGAGTGTGAGAAACAAACAGAGGGAAGGAAAAAGTGATAAAGGCTTATCAAGGAATAAGGGTGTAACTATGGGCTCTATAGCCCATAGTTACACCCACAGAGGGGGAGTGGGTGGCTTTACTGCCCTAGCAAGCGTCAATTCAATTGCATTAAAATTAAATTAAGCGACATGAGGTCTGCATGCCTGTAGTTTTGTCTTAAATCTGATTATACACACACACATCATGTCGGTGGGGTATGGGTAAATGTTGCGCAGACAAAGGCATTTGTTGGGGACACAAGTCGCGTTTGATAAGAGCGTCCTTCCCCCTCTCATGGACAGAGGCCTCCCTAACCTTGCATAATTGAATTCCCTTGTGACATTGTGACACAACTTGATGTTGCTCCTGATTTGATGACCCAGCAGACTGAGGCAGGCTGTGGACGGAGAGCGCAGAGCTTGAGAGTATAGATGGGATACCATGCCCTGATAATACTTGACGTTTCCCACAATTTATGTTATAAGCGCATGAGTCTCTTCTACTGCTTCTTTGATAAATGCTCTCCTCAGCAACTCTGACAGTTGTGTAGCTTTGTAGCTGTACTGTTTCCACGGGTTGGATGATGGGCAGAGCAAAGCTATGAAAGCTTGAGGTTTGTAGTTGTGGGAATGCGACAAGATGTGAAATTATTGAAGGGGCCTTAATAGTTTCTCATGGTTCTGTAAAAGCGGTGTAAAGCTACAGAGGAGTGTTTGCAGTAACATGGAGGCCATACTCACGCCTGAGGGGGCGTAACTGCCGTTGCTCATTTCTGGAGAGCTGGGGGTGTGTCGGGAGGAGGGAGACATGCTGAGGTCCACCGCAGGGGGGGTCGGGGTGTCAGTCCGGTCATGAGGGACCACCTGCACACCTGAGAAAACACACTCAGGTTTCAGTGACCTTACTCTTCAGGTATCTCTGGCCTCAAAGAGGGACCCTTTCTTGGAAAGCAAAATGGTTCAGGACATATAGCACAATGTCTTTTCACTTTAACAATGAAGAAATATGAAAAATTGTTTTAAAAAAAGTAGGGAGAAAAATTATCTGAATAGTTTCAGGCGGGATTAAGATAGTATAAGAGCACTTAAATTACACAGAAGATAACTCTCTCTGTCCAACCCTATCAGTAAAAGAGCAACCCTAGGAGGCTTTCATTTATTCACTAGAATCTAGTTTTGACTACAGTTAGCAAAAGAAAAAAAATCTAGTTAATTCTTAATACTCCTAAAATGAACTATTGTAATTCTCAAAGAAATAATCTTTAGAAATCATCACCCATCCTGGTTTCATCTTTGCTTTTTGCAGCTGCATGTTTTATTCAGCTTTAGTTGTGATTCCTGAGCTGCAGTTGGCTGAATTTGAGAGACGTCACATGAGATTCAAAGCCATCTTCAATGTGCTGTTTTCCCCTCTCCATGCGCCGTTGCCAATCACAGAATAATGACGCATATTAAAAGCTCCTCTATCCTCTGCTAGTTATACATATTGGTTTGATTATAAGTGACTAAAAGACAAGCTACACCTACCGGAGTGAGGAGATGCAGGTGAAGTGGGCTCTATAATTGCTGTCCCATCATCTGTCATATGCAGCTGGCGAACCTGCTTGGCGTGCAGCGGCGAGAGCAGAGGAGAGCGGGCTCCCCTGTCCTTCCCGTTAGCCCGTCGTGGGAGTTTCAGGTCCAGGGGCTCGTCCAGCGACAGCATGGCTTCGACCTGCTGACCTCCCAACTGCAAAAATGGGGACAGAGGTAAGGAGTCAGACTTGGATGTTACACATTTGAGATTTTTAAAAGCATGCCTCATTTCGCTTTAACTTATTTGCTACTATGTTAGGTTTGTTTTTGCAGTCAGAGAATCTGAATAAAACCCAAACATCTTTAGTTTTTTTTAATTATCTTTATTAAAAGCACCATTGCTATTGCCAATACTCCTGGATAGCAGAGGGCAGATTCTCACACCTGCGATTTTTACTCCATGAACTTTGTTTAAAAAGTATCTCACATTCCACAACCCCACTGGGCAGAGAGCACTCTCCAACAATGGTCAACCGACCACAATCACATGCTGTAACACTGAGCAAGCCAAAGAAAAATAAACATTCATACACATGATGAGAGCTCAGCGACTCCCTTCTCTTTACTCATCCTGACCTTTACCCATACACTCTTCCTAAGGAATTTCTACAATCCGATCCAGATGGTCGCCCCCTCCGCTGGGCCTTTTTTCACCCCACCACTTTGCCATTTGCTGGCCTTTACACCCAACATAACCCATCCTACCCCTCACCCACTATCCCCTGCAACAGAGTGTGCACCTTCAAGCTCTGCGGACCTTCGAGACCCATGGCGAATGCCTCAGGGCTTCAGCTCCAGCTGTAAATGCTCAGCTTACCTCCTCTCTGCTCTAAACGCACTGACCTCTGCACCCAGCCCAAGGCCTGGCCGTTATGCAGGTCTCTAATTGGCCTCTTCCTCAGCCACAGGACATCTAAAGCTCCTTGCTAACTTTATTCTATACTTCTCTCTAAAGTATTTTTGGTGACAGGGGACAAAGCAGCCACTTTGAAAAGAACACCCTGATCAGACGAAACTTAAGAGCAAAATAATGAAACATGGTGGTGCCAGAACCCTTATGCTACTGAAGAAACACAATCCCTCAGCATGATGCTGCAACCACCTCATAGAACAAACTTTTAAAAGAAAAAAAAAATCTTCAGAATTAGGCGAAAGGTTCACCTACCATAGTACAACGATCTAAAACTTAAAACCGAGGCTACAGTGGTGGGGTTCAGATTAAGGCATATTCATTGGTGGACATGGACCAGTCAAAGTCGAGATCTAAATCCAGTTATTCTGCAGCCGAACTTGAAAGAGAGAGTATAAAGGTAAGTATTTCGATGTGTGGAGAGACATACCCTAAAATATTTGTTGGTTCTCAATGCAAATGCAAACATATTTAAAAAAGATTAAATATGTACAAATGTATCATGCATTTTCAGTTTTGAATAAAATAAAAGGACATTTTGGCTTTAACGTGTCAAGAAATATGGAAAATCTTTAAGAGGTACGATTACTTTATCAAGGCCCTGAGGAACCATTTACTTGAAAATGATTTCATAAGAAAGAAATCCTGTGATTAAGGGCACATTGTTGAAACACGCAACAAAAACAAATAGGCAACTGTCTTCTGTGACATCAAAGGTTCACTGCATACCCATCTAGGTCACACTAGTTCTGCAATGCAGATTTAAAGCCCAAACTCCACCGAGGGCAGTGCTTCAGGGTTCACTGCTCTATCTCATCAAACAAACATGGAAACATCTCAAAGCATTCTGCCTCTTCAAAACCCAGCAACAAACAGTCATATAACTGAATACACACCTAAGACCGACACTCAAACAAACCCATCCATGTCAATACACAGAACAAATTATTGTAATCAAATCCTAATTTCACAAATCAATCCGTCCTTCCTCTGTTCTTGCACTAAATGTTGACTCAGACTCCTACAGGCCACGGTCTGCAGAGAATGGTGGGCTTTGAGAGCAACTGGCCGGCGGCCACATGAGACGGCCTTGTGTCTGGGAGGCATGGAGCATGGAGGTTAGCAGGTTCACCATCCCAGCTAGTGATGGCCACAGCTTGGACATGCATATCCAACCCAACCATGCGGGGAAGGCAGTCAGCCAAAGATAGGATGATAACCTGCACATAAACAGAGGATTAGTGTATATATGCATAGAGCTGCATTATGCTGCTATCAGAAAGATCTCACAGCAAAAACAGACACTCATGTTTCTCACACATAAAATCTGCCCTGCGGACCCTTATCTGATTGCATGTAAAAAATTATTTGGATCAATTCTATAGAACAAATACCAAAAAAGAAAATTGGCATGTAGAGTTAAAAGGACTTACACTCAGAGGTGGGTTTAGTAGCTGGGAATCTTACTTAAGTAAAAGTATTACTACTTCATCATATTTTTACTCAAGTAAAAGTAAAAAGTAGCCTTTAAAGAAATGATTCAATTAAGCAAGTAATTTTGAACAGAGGGTGCTGTGAAATGTATTTCTTGTTTTTTTGGAGCTAAAATCCTATAGGCCTATTTAAACTAAAATAAAAATAAATAAGTAAATCACTAGATTCACTACTTTGAAAGTGCAAGGTGGAAACATGCTCTTATTTTGAGCTACAGGCAGGGTGCCCTGGAGATAAAGTCTCTCATGAGCGGACAAATCCGAAATGCGTTTCTTTTCTGACATTAGACTTTGTACATTTACTAGTCTGAGCGGGATGCCTCTTTACTTGGCGACCACTAGCCCACTTGACGTTGTACGCAACATAACTTCCATGAAATTGTGTTGATTAGGCCTCAAAATAATAAAATAAAAATCCAAATACACGCAAAAGTAAAAAAAAAAAAATTCTAAATGATTCCCTAAAATATTTATAAGAAATTTATAATTTATAAAAAAAAAAAAATACTGCAGCATCTGCAGCACCCCCACGTCCCGCAGCCATGCAAATAAGAGGAATTATTTACTTAAATTATTTGATTTAAAAATTTTTGACTTATAAAACCTTCAAAATCAACAGTATACAGTAGAACAGGTAAAATTACAATAAACTGTGTACTCTATTATGGCAGACTCAGCAGATGGAAAATTACCTTAAACTAATGAGCCTTGAGAACAAAAAATTAAGTTTGACTCTTAATGTTGCATGTTTGTTTAAAACGAGCTTTTTTTCATTAAGTGAACTTATTTATGATAACACATGGATTAGCTAGAGAGAGTAGTGATATTCTATCATATGTTTACTCAAGTAGAAGTAAACAGTACAATGGTGTAAAAATACTACTTAAAAGTACATTTGTTTGTTACTCAAGTAAATGTGAGTAAATGTAACTAGTTACTACCCACCTTTGCTTTTTCTTACATTTCTGACCAGGTGGTCCAATTTTCTGAAGCTGTTACAGATCAATAAATGTAATGTGACTCATTTCTGGTAACACTAACCAGTTTCTACTGCACAAATTGTGCAGAGAGGACTTTTGGCTATGTTTAGCTCCAAATTATGTGGATATGAAATATGACAAGCCAGTGAAGGTCTCTAGATTGTTTAATTTTAAAGATTTAATTAATCTTATAAGAACAGCCAAATATTTTTTATTTTCTTACTAATGAAGTGAGCAATTGCCCTTAAGTTTGAATGGGGCATTTTTGGACCAGAATACGATTAACTATAAGCCATTTTATTGCAGCTTTGGCTTTATATAAAGGGTAATTATCCTGTTGCTATTAACCCACCATCCTTTGCAGCCTAAAACTGGTTCATCGTCATATTTGACCAAGTTCTCAGACCCATGCTGATAATGAGCATCCCCATACTATGATACTGTCACCACCATGTTTCACTTATGAGATTGTGTGTTTAATAATGAAGGGCAGTGTCTGGATTTTGCATCGTATTTTATGCTATAAAATAGAGCAACTTACAAGTATCCTTCAGTACAAACCCAAATCGACCTCTCTAACTCTTTAAGCTTAATAAACACTTTTGCAGAATTATTCCAGAATAACAACTAAGGAGTAATGTTAACATTTTTACTCTACTTGTCTTTCCGAGATGTTTCAAATCTAATCATCCCCAGAGGATTTTGCCCCATAGCACCACATGAATTAGTCGCCATGATTGCATTTAACCTTTGCCCACCCTTTATGGCTGTTAGCAAAGGCTGACTGGAAAGTGACAGAAAGTGTGTGGATTTTGGACTGGATTATGGGATCTTGGCTGAATCTTTGAAACAGCTAAAGGGGGCTTTTTGGGAAGAATGCAGCAAGTAGGACCATGCAGCACAAAGCGGGGATGATGCAGGCATGGGAAGATTATTGCATTCTGCCCATGCATGCTTATGAGATCATGCGTGTGTGTATGACTTTGTAGAAGGTGGTTGTGAAGTTTGAGGAAGGGGTGTTGGCTGGCCCCCATGCAGACTTCCTCGCTCGGCCGTGGGGTCGGCAACATTTCTCAAAGGCAGCATTGTCCCTCCCTCGGCCCTCTCTCAATCTCTAGCAAAGTAAACATCGACTACAGCAGCTGAGTGGGAGGAAGGAGAGGAGGGAAGCTCGCAGGGGCCACAGCGAGGATATATGAGGCAGAGGAGGAAGTGGTGCAGGAAGATTCCTAAAAGGGAGGATTGTGTGTCCTCTTTAGCAAGCTTTATCATCTATCTTCCCGTGTAAATCTTCCCGACCTGAGTCTCAAACAGTAAACACAAGCCTCTTTGAAGACGTTTTGAGTCTCTGTGTGTGCGTTGGAGGGTAAGTTTTGGTCAAAGATGGATGAAAGTTGGGTGGGTTAATGACTGAGGCACTGCGGAGGGGCATCAGGTCAAACACAGGGCTGCATGTTTCAACACCTCGGTGTTGTGGAGCTAAAAGCACATGGATCAAGGTTGAACAGGCCCTGACTGTCTGATCTCTGACCTCATCTGATCTGAACAGGGAGCATTGGGTTTCAGCTCTGTCTGGATTCAAGAAAACAACTATGAACCATAAGATGATTATACTTCAGGCTATAAAATCACATTGTGCAGTATTTTATTTTCATAGCGTTTTTTTATGAAAGTGTAAGAATGTGTAAGTGTACAGATTCTGTGCGGCCCCCTCTGAGGTTGGCTGTAACTTAATCTCCCTCCTGCTGGGACCCTGGGAGGTGGTCTGTAG